CCAGTGAGGGGCAAAACAACATGGAAGAGGACATGTGGGTGAGCAAGAGTTCTTCTGTCTGCTTCCTATCAAGGGCTTTGACAAGCTGACTCCATATGTGAAGGAAATTTGACAAGGAAGACTGTTAACATCACACTGCCATCCAGACAGCCCACACCCAAAGGATAAGATACTCACTGGTGCATTGCTGAAGCTGACACCATGTCATATGCTACTGTTGCTGAAGATAATTCACTGCAGAGAATAAGACAGTTCCTCACCTCATTTGCTCTTCCATAATGAAATTCCAAAGGATACTGAAATTTGCTTAATTTTTTTGTTTATATGTTGGGATATTTATGCTTTAGATTTTGGTTTTCTTCATTTTGGTTTAAGGTTTTGTTAATTGTCGTTATTTCTTTTATTCTTGTCACTATTTTAATAGTTTGATAAGGCTATACATTGTATATAAGGACTGATGTTTTGAATGCCCCCATCGAGTAAAATGTATGTATTTTTATGAATAAAATCAATTTTCAAATTTCACTCTGAGACTCTTCTTTCATCAGATGAGGTTTCACACTTCTGTAATCCCAGAACTCACAGGCTTAGATGTATCTCAGTAAGTTTCAGGAATCTTTGGCTGCATAAGGATTTCCCAGGCATGGGTCTCAGGGATACACAAGAGGATGACACCTTGGATGTGGATGGAATAGACTACTCATGGATACCCACTACATAATAGAAAAACTAGACATATTGTATGCTTGACATCATATATTTAGCTGTAAATGTGGTACACTGTATACACATGTTCACAAAATCATCATGTAGACCAAATTAAAAGAAAACACAAGTATATTGCTCTAGGCCTCTCAGGAAATAGGAACATTCATTAAAATTGTATAAAAGAAATCAGAAAATGACAAGCAATCTGCCTCTAGTTTTCCTGAAATATAACATGAATGATAACCGAGAAGAAGAGATAATTTCCTGCAAGACATGTTGGGATATTTTGTGGTGAGCTGTCTTAGGTGGATTAGATCACTCCCAACCAAAAGATTCTTGAAACCTGTTGGGACAGGCATGCTAATTGTCTTAGGCTGCCACACATCCATGCAGGGCTCTCATAGGTTCAAGATCCTGCCCCAGTATCCCTCACTGTCAGACTGGAACTGATTTCCTAGATCTCTTCTAGGTTGACAACATGTATTAAGACTGTCTGATGAAATGCAGAAATTAGAAGACTGTCCTGGGGTGGAGGTGGGGTGAGGAATCCCTCTTGATGGTCCAGATAAGCAATGTTGGGAGGAACCTCATGACAAGGTGGAGTGGATGGAGCCTACATCAGGGGCCACATGTCTCTGGTGCAGAGTGATTCTGTGCAAGACTAAAAACAGGAGGAGGTAGTTGATGCTGCTCTTTTACCACAGCAGATCTCAGATTATATTGAGAAAGTTCTTCCAGATGACTGATTGACTCTTGTGAAGCTCCTCTGGAATAGATCTGACTCCTGAGACTGAGAGTGAGGCAGAGAGATCATGTGTAAAGGATGTTATCCCGTGGCTCTCCAGACTGGAGCTCTCATATCAAGGGTAAAAAGAACCTCGTGTCCTCTGGTCTTCATGTGGTGGAGCGGTGCCAGGTCTTGGCCCACAGAAGCTAAGACATCTGGTTTTTCCTTCCTCACTTAAGCTAGAATCTCTCCATCTCATATAATAACTTGTTTAGTTATATTACTGTGTGTTCCATTTGAGAAATTGTATTATTTTCAGAATTGTGTTATTTTACATTTTTCCAGAATCCATAGAAGCCTTGTAGGTGAGCATCAAAGCATCATCTAAAAAGCAGGTTAAGGGATTGTGACCATGTGGAATTTATAACTGAGATAAGGCTGTTGTCAGGCCCAAACTACTCTAAAAGTTCTATACCTGTCTGGTGCATTGGTCAGGATTTTATGGGGTAACAAAATGAATTTCTATAGATACAAAAGGCTCTATTTTAGAATGACTTAGAGGCTTTGGTCCAGGTAAGTGAACATTGTTTGGCTATAATGGCAAAGTCCTCGAATCCAGTAGTTGCTCAGTACACTATGCTTGATGTCTCAGCCCATCAGCAGTATAGTCTGGAATCCCAAAGCAGTTGGCTCCAATGCCAGTGAAGGCATGGACTTGCTAGCAAGGTGAGAGCAAGCAGCTAAAGAGCAAAGCTCCCTTCCTCCATTTCGTTATATGGACTTCCAGCACAAGGCCTGGCTGAGATTACAAGTGGGGTTTTGGGGCTCAAAACATCTGAGTTATAGGTGTTTCTTTTCTCATCAATATCCAGATTAAAAGAGTATCTCCCTAATGCAAAGATCAGGACTACATGTGGATCTTCTCTCTTCAAATTAAGCAAAAGTACCTCACAGGTGTGCCCCTCCATTTTGGGGTTTTAGTTAATTCCAGATGTAATAAATGTGACAAACAAAAATAGATATCACATCTGCACCTTTGTCAACTTGACACAGAATTGTATCTTTTTATGTCATGATTAATTTCCAAATGTAGTACAATAACCATGTATTAATATTGACTAAATATTATATAATTATTCCAAGTACAACACAAAGACATTATGTATTAGACCAGCTCAAAATTATGCCTAACATGATTTAATTGTCCCTTGTAGTTGGAGTTTTCCTGTGTCCATCCAGCTCCTGCAGCTGCTCAGACCCAACTAAACACACAGAGACTTAAAAACTGTATGGCTGTGGCAGGCTTCTTACTATCTAGTACTTATATCTTAAATTAACCATTTCTATTAATCTATAAGTTGCCATGTGGCTGGTGGCTTACAGGTACTTTACATCTTACTTCTCATGGTGGCGGTGGCTTCTCCTGACTCAGCCTTCCACTCGCAGCATTCTCCTCTCTGCTAATCCTGCCTATAGTATACTTCCTGCCTGGCTAGTGTCAAATCACCATTTATTTATCAAGCACTCAGAGCAACACATTCACAGCATACAGAAAGACATCCCCAGCAATCCCTGTACAACTGCAAACACATTATAAGTTAGAATAAGTGGCAATGTCCCTGGAGGGACATTTTTTTAGTATCTCAAATTTAAATATGGTAACCATCAATATTCTCCCTCTTTTGGAATAAATTTGGTTTTATTTATTTGTTTATTTTTGTTATTATACCCTAACCAAAATTTCCCCTCTGTCCTCTCCTCTCAGTCCCTCCCCCACCCTCTAATCTTCCTACTCCCCATCCATTCCTCCTTCATATTTTTCTGTTCAGAAATGGACAGGCCTCCTGTGCATATCTGCCTGCCATGTTATATCAAGTTGTGGTGAGCCTAGGCATGACTTCTTACATTAAGGCTGGACAAAGCAATTCAGTAGGAGGAATGGGTCCCAAAAGCAGGGATTAGTGACAAGCCCTGCTCCCACCGTTAGGAGTCTCACAAGAAGAACAAGTTATACAACTGTAAAATAAATGGAGAGGACAAAGGTCAGTCCCATGCATGCTCCCTGGTTGGTGGTTCATTCCGTGAATCACTATGAGCCTAGGTTAGTAAGTTCTGTGGGATGCTTGTGGGGCTCCTGACCCCACTAGCTCCTA